ATTATTTACAGGAATTACATAAACAAATTTCTTTTTTAAAACTGTTTTCCTTCTTTTATGTAGCACTGGAGTTGGGGAGATATACAGAGGATTCATCCTTCCTTAACAGGCCCATCTTAAGTGAATACTATGTTTAAACTTTCATGACTACCCTGAAAGATATATGAGAGACCTAACATAATTTTACCAGAAAATTTTTCCCAATAGTAGTTTAAAATGTACCAGTGACAGCAGAGATACCTCTGTTGATAGCTTAGAAAAACATGGCTAAATTAACACACAACTTGAAATTTTAAGGTAAAGGGTAGTGACTTTGCAGTGTTTTAGGATTTAAAATGACTTAGATCAGAATTTTTTTAAAACAGGCAGAAAACTAAACTATATAAATCCAAGATGTAAAATGTCTACGAATCCTATGAAATACAAAATTGCAATCTGAGAAGTTAAAAAACATTTTAAAGAAAACAACTTTGATGAAGTTTATTAGACACCAGACTGTTCAGAGTTTTTAATTCTCTTTCCTTCAAAGTGTTATAAGAATATGGCAGAGAATTTTCTCTAAAAAAAATCAGAAAGAGTTTTGTAAAAGAAAAAGATGGCCTAAAGTCTAGACTGTCTCTTAAGAGCCCTTCCTGTGTAGTAATCCTGAATTTCATTCATTACTCATCCCCTTAGAGGTAATCCAAACAGATTAAGAAATAAAATGCTTTTCTCTTCTGTCTTCTTTTTTGCTTTGCAAACTGTTTTTAAATTAATACTTCCTGCTCCCTCCCAAGAATACTGGAACCTTTGTAAACAGTTGTTAAATAGCTATAATTCCTTCTCATATTCATTCAACATTTACCACAACTCTCAAGATAAGCAACACCCACTTGAAGGTATCATAGTGTCAACTACTATAATGAAGGAAAAGTGATTTACAGCAGCTGGTAAACTAGGTTTCTAATGCAAAAAAGCACTGAAGAAAACAGAGAACTTTGTTTTAGACAGGGATTGTGAGAGTTTCTGAATTGTTAGTACTTCAAAGCCTCATTCTATTACCCTATATACAACTCAACTCGTAACCTATTTTTCATTTTTCCTTGGGACTAAACAATACTTAAAGCAATCACTAGACCTGCCAAACTTTATTTTTTAATTTGTATATTCATTTTCTTGTGCAATTTCGGTTTGTTGGAGTCAATTACAGCAATGATTTATGATTTACTCTGGTAAATTTCCAAGGCTTTTTGTAAAGAAAAACTCAAAGAATTTCAGTAAAAGAATGATGTGCTGCAATACATACAATGTATACATCAAGTTCAGAATGCTGGGAGTCAGAATCAAAGGAAAAATTGTTCCCACCATCCTTCCAGAAGAAATCCTTGCAGGCATGGCTAACTAAGAATTTATATTATCTAGTATTTTTAAAGGTGTTTGTTTCTTAGTTTAAAAATACATTAAATTGAGTAACAAAGAAGAAAAAATAATACCTATAAGACTCTCTTTGGGTGTAAGTCATTCAAACCCCTGGCTTTACCAAATAGCAATAACAACCACATTAACACAGTTCCCATCTTCCCAGGGTTAAGTTATTTTCTTGATTCCATATACTGTTGGTACACATTTTAAATACAAATTCCTTGTATTTGGAGCAATGGTCCAAACTCACACCCTAACTGTAGTGTCTGGATAACTGCAAATGCAAATATTTATAGTTTCCCAATTAATAAAATGAACACTTGATCTAATATTGAACCACAGCGCCCATAGTCATATGCAATTCTCTTAGTTAAAAAACTCTTACTAATAAGCAAGAATGTACATCGTAATTTTCATAACTTTTAACATTTTTGTTATGCAGGGCTTTGTTTTTTGTTTTTTTGTTTTTTTGTTTTTTTTTAGAAATAAAAAGAGTCCATCTCAGGTAGCACAGAGCTTTAGTATCTTGCCCAAAGACTCTGGAAACCTTTGGGGAGCATAGTGGAGAGTTCACCTCCAAATGGATTTTAACATCTGGGTGAGTGGTTCTCAAATTTCAGGACGTATCAGAACTGCTGTGGTTAAATTGAAGCATCTCTAATTGTACCTGAGGTGAGGGGCCCACCCAAGCTTTTGAACCACTAATCTAGATTAGACATTCAGGTTCTCTTTCATCTTGTCCCAGGAATTACCTTTTAATGTATTTTACCTTATCAAATCTAGATTAAAATGTGGTTGTCCTTAATTTCTTTTTTTTTTTAAGATTATATTTGAGAGAGAGACACAGGGAGAGCACAAGCAGGGAGAGGGCCTGAGAGAGAGGAAAAGGCAGGCTCCCAGCTTAAGCAGGAGCCCTTACAGCTCTATCCTAGAACCCCGAGATCATGACCTGAGCTGAAGTCAGATACTTAGAGGACTGAACCATCCAGGAGCCCCTGTCCTTAATTTTTATGACTCCTTATAGCCTTTGTCTTTACTGTACATGATCCATTGCTCTGTTTTTCTGGAACAACTCACTGTCTGGCGAAGTATCCCCTGATCCAAAGGAGAGGAAAGAGGGGTCAACTCCACCAGGTTAAACCTTGTGGATGAGTGAGACCTAAATTAAGTTAACTTAGTTCAATGATATCTCAATTTCCTTAGAGAAAAAGAACATTTCTAGTCTTCAAATAAACTCCTGTAACAGCTGGATCTAGATGCACTGCTTTCCTTTTGGAAGATCCTCATTCTTCAGAAAATACCGTGGGAAATCTGCTGACAATTTCCTGTAGCCTGACCAACCCTAATTCCCAATGATGTCAACCATTTCCTCTCCATGTGGTTTTGCAAAGCCCTTTGTCATGGTAAAAATCTGTTCTTGAAGAGAAGTTGCAGAGATATATTTTACTCTGGCTGTATCTCATATGCCCAGAGAAGTGCCTGGAACATAGTAAGTGATGTGGGAAAAAAAGGCAGAAGAAAATTATTAAATTTCCTTACTACCTACAGCCCATTGACAAGTCCTTGAGACAAGCAGAGTGACATTCCTCTAGGGACTCAACTGCCTCGATGTTGACACTTTGCTAAGGGCAAAAGGCAATCTTAGCCCAACCCCTAGGAACTTGTAAGTCTACTTTAACATATAAAAATTCCTTTAGAAACTTCCTTTATTTCTATCCCCCAAGATCCATATTGGTAACCATCCCCCAAGTATATGACCCACTGTTATACATCTGAAGGGTCTCATGACTGAGTTTTTACTAAGCAGTAATAAAGGACCTTTCCTAATAATAGCTAGCCCCCTTGGGATCCTGGAAACCTTGCTTCCAGAATACTTGGGAGGCTTACATTATCCCTAACCCCTTCCCAACCTGAAAGTATATAATAGGCCACTCTTCATGATCCCAGTGCAACTCTTTCTGCCCACAGGTCCTGTGCCCATCCGTGCCTTAATAAAGCTACCTTTTTGCATGGAAGGTGTCTCAAGAATTCTTTCCTGGCGGTTGGCTGTGAACCCTAACATCTTTCTTAGATCAGTAGGCACACTATGAATATCTGTTAAATGAATGAATGTTTTCCTGCCACATGAAGTGTGTGATTTTTATCACTGTCAAGGACATAATAAATTTAGTATACAGCCCTTTGCAAAATATCAAAGGAGATATCTTTGTGCATTATTGATCTACCACAGAGCTGACTTCCATTTTATAAACATATTCATCGATGAAACTTGCCTTAAATACAGCATTATTCAGTTTTCTTACCTACCATAATTCAGTACTGATATGATACCAGATTTTTAGTATTCGTACACAAATTTAGACCATCTGACACCAGCTAATACAAGATGGCCCTAGACTTTACAATAATATATTTTCAAGAATGTCACATTCATAAAAGACTCTCTATCCTTAAATATAGAACCAGAATCCTGATGTAACCCTCTGCCATCTGAACAGTGTTGCTGTTTCTGAAAAGGCTAGATTTCCCAGGATGGGCACACCTCCTGTTTCATATTGACTCATCAACTGAGTTCTCTTTCTGCATATATTGAAAGCAAAAAGTCTGCTCTAGGGGATCCCTGGGTGGCGCAGCAGTTTGGTGCCTGCCTTTGGCCCAGGGCGCGATCCTGGAGACCGGGGATCGAATCCTACATCAGGCTCCCGGTGCATGGAGCCTGCTTCTCCCTCTGCCTGTGTCTCTGCGCCTCTCTCTCAATCTCTCTCTGTGTGACTATCATAAATAAATAAAAAAATAAATAAAAAAAAGTCTGCTCTATTTAAGCAGAGCTTAGATTACATGAGTTAAAACTACAAATTTTACTTACACAGGGGTAAACTCTATCCAATAAAGATGATCTTTAAAAGTCATTTGTCAATCAAATTTTGTTAATTGAATTATAATCTAGTGTGCTGGAGAAGGGGTGCCTGGGTGGCTCAGTCTGTTACATGTCCTACTCTTGATTTCTGCTCAGATCATGATCTCAGGGTGACGAATTCAAGCCCCGAATTGGGCTCTGCATTGGGTGTGGAGTCTGTTTAAGATTCTCTCTTTCTCATTCTCTGTCTCTACCCCTTTCCCTCTCTAAAAAAGTTTTTTAAAAAAGTACTGGGGGAGCTTGTCAGTCAGTTGATGCAAGCCTATAATATTGCCTTTTGTAGTGGCGAAAAAGGAAATGTAATTATAAAAGTAAATCCTTCTACTACCAACAAATTTGTCTTTTTTTGCTATTAAAGTAACATTTTGTTTCAGCAGCTTGAGGAGACCCATTTGGATAGGATTTGTGTTTTAAAAGGAGAGACTAAGGCATTTAAAAAAAAACAATCACACAGATATTTATCAGTCAAGTGAATTTTGCCTAAATTCTTTCTTCTATTGAATAGACATTTATTGAATGTCCTCTAAGCCAAACATTAAGCAATAGAGAACTGGACAGTCACAGCTCCTGGCCTCATAAAATTGACATTCAAGGAGGAAATGCGAACATTAAGAAAATACAACAGGTGTTAAGAAAAGATAAATCCAGATTGATATGCAGATATTTAAAATGATATCTTCAGGTGCTTGCTTCAGCAGCATATATACTAAAATTGGAACAATACAGAGAAAATATTAACATGGGCCCTGAAGAAGGATGATACTCCAATTTCTGAAGTGTTGCATATTTTTAAAATAAGTAATATAAAATAAAATAAAATGATAGGACATATTCAAGGCCTTCCTGGGGACACTGCATTTAGGCTGAGGCCTGAACAATGACAGTTGGCCAAGCAAGGTAAAAAGAAACAGCACGCTCTTGATTCAGAAGCAATGGAAAAATTCTCACATAAAAGGAATTCAGCAAAGCCCAGTAAGGCCAATGTAGAGAACAGATGGGAGAGGAGGGAGAAGCTGGGAGTGGAAGCTGAAGGAATGGTCAGGACTCAGCTTGTGGAGGTCCCTGCCACTGTATGAGGTGTTTGAGACTTATTCCTGAGAACAGTAGAAAACCACTGAAGAGGGTAAAGCAGGTATCATGGTAATGGTTTCATGAACATACATAAAGCAAATAACATTTGGCCAATTCTTACTAGAGCCATCTGTTGCAGCTAAAGGTAAACTCCAAGGGGCAGAACCAGAGAAATACAAGGCTGGCATGCAGAGTTGAATTTAAGCAGTAAGCAGCAGTGAGGAGCTGGAAGGAGTGAAATGAAGGAGAGAAAGCCAATCCAAAGAGGCGGTACTGAGCAGACCTCCACTATGGGCAATAGACCTCCAGTCCACAAGGGACAGCTTCAAGGAGCCATTGAGAAGGTGCCTGAGAATCATGTAGATGAAGGGTAGAAAGAGGTAGTCTTTACCCACGACCTCCCATTTTCAATAGCTCCAGATTCTCACATGCATTTAAATAGTTAAAAGTATACATGCTAATGTACACTAAGACAGCCCCAAGAACAAGAGGCACTTTTGCAGCTGAGGAAGGTGCCATCATGCTAAGTAAGAGTGCTCTGTAGCTGACTACAAGGCTGTAGTTAAAAAGTGGGATGAGAACATGTGAATCAGGACACAAGGAGCATCAGATATGCTACCCAATTTGCCAATCACTCAGGAGCTGGCTATAAATTTGGAATTATTTACCATCTAAATGAAGAGCCCACATAAAGCATTTGGAGTAAAGGTGCTGGAGAGGAGAACTGGTCCTCTAGTGTCAAGTTCCATCCATAACTATCACTTTTATCTCTCTGAATAACACTATGTGCCAGACTCTGTGCAAAGCCTTTATAATGTCACATTTAATCCTCCCAACAATCCGACAAGGAGGTCCTGTCATTATAACTGTATCATCCATCTATTGCTGTGGAGCAAATTATCCCAAATTCAGTAGCTCAATAAAATAAACATTTATTATCTCTCTCAGGTCCTATATATCAGAAATTGGGGGAGTGACTTGACTGGGTATTTCTAGCTCAGACTGTCTCATGAGGTTCCAGTCAAGACATTGCCAAGTCTGCAGACATCTGAAGGCTTTGCTAGGACTGGAGTTTGTGCTTCCAAGACAGCTTACTTACATGGTGCTCACTGTTGGCAGGAAGCCTCAGTTCCTGCCATGTGGGCTGTTCCTATGACTGCCTATCCTTACTACATGGCCCTAGCTGTCCCCAGACTGAGTCACCCAAGAGAAAGTATAAGGCAGAAGCCACAATGATTTTGATTCCTTAGCCTCAGAAGTCACACACCATCATTTCCACAATATCTTATCTGTTGAACAAGTCAACCCTATTCAACATGGGAAGAGACTGCCTGCAGCATGAATACTAGGAGGCAGGGATCACTGGGGCTGTCTTGGAGGCTGGCTGCCCCAACCACCATTTTACACATGAGGCTACTAGGGCCCAGAGAGGTAAACTGACTTTCCTAAGGTCACACAAGTAAGTTGAACTTGGTTCTCACTGACTATAAGTCCTACGTCTTTAATCATGATACTATACTGTCTCTTTAAGTAAACTGATACTTAAAGCCAAAGATATTTAACCACACAGGGAAACATTTAATCTAAAATAATATCAATAAGAAAAAAACCCTGGAGCCTATCAATAGACTTAATTTGGCGCGAATTTCTGACTTCAGCTTCCTTCATCTACAGACTAAATTGTCAGATTTATAAACACAGGTGTACTTGTGCCAGAATTAACCAAATGCTGCATGGCATAGTGTAAAGAAAAAGGGAACAATCTGAAAAAGTTTAATTTAGTAAAATAAACTGACTTCAAAGCAGTCCAGATGGTTTCAATACTACCCACAAAAAAAAAAAAAAAAAGAAGAAGAAGAAGGAGGAGGAGGAAGAGGAGGAGGAGGAGGAGGAGGAGGAGAAGGAAAAGATTAAGGATGTGATAATAAGACACAAATAACCATTCTGTCCTCTCTATGGGATGGGGGCAGAGACTGCTTTCTTCTTTGTATTACAAGACACAGAAAGCAAAGGCCTGATGACTAAATGTTGCTATAAATCATCCAGGATGCCAAACTCATGTACTTTGTGGGAGGCTGGGGTTACGGTTCTCAGTAGCACAATGCTTTGCAATTAAAGCAGAATATGAAAACTGAGGAGCAAACAATAGGTGTCCTGAAGGATGTTCTCCACCCATATGTATGTGTTATCAATGCAGGACCCCATCATATCCATCTTAATAAACCACCAGTATCGAAGTAGAAAGATAAAAAGATCAACGTTTACCATTCTTTAGTCCAGGCAATATCAAATACGTTGATAACTGAAATCACATACAGAAAATGAAGGGACAGTATTCTTGGTGTAGAGAATGAAAGTGTATCCTCATGATCTCCTTATTCATCACACAAATCCTGGCTTAGGTTGCCTCATGCATCTCCAGGCCCTCCTGCCAATGAGGAAAGCCAGGGTGTAAATCCATCCCCATTCCCACTGAGGAGCCTACGAACCTCACTCTCTATACTTCCCCCAGACCTGTCCCCATTACCAAAACTATATCCCATTGTTTAATGTAAGTAACAATCTTAGAGCTTCACCCACTGCTTCCCTTCAACTACAGCCCTTCTGAAAGCTTTTGCTCTCTGTAGTTCTTTCTTTTATGAAAGTCAACAAAAAGCAGCATATCATGGGCTGAGATCCATGCAGTAAATTAAAGCCATTCCACACTCAAGGGGTTCCAGCAGTTTTTCATATCTGCAGACCAGGCCTACAAACTCAATCATTTTCATTCATTTGAACTTTTGTTACAAAGTATTGGGAATGGAATAAATTAGCCAGCTCATCTTTCCCTCTATTTCAAAAAAGCACAGAGTACTATTTCTTTAGAGAGAGCATTTCATGGAACAGACAGCATTTCTTACAGTAAAACAGCTTGACAAACAGGGTAAAGGATTGTAAAGGTGTTCGGTAAGGTTTCAAAAGAGATAGGAATGTTGAACAAAAAGAGGCAGGGGCTCTGACTCAATAAAGCGTCTCGAACTTCCCAAGGTCTTTGATCTTTAAAAAGTGAAACTCTGGAACATCAACTATAACAGAGTCCTGGAATATTTCCAGTAATTTTTTTCCTGAGAAAATGGAATCTCCAAAACATTGACTAACAGACATATAACCCCTATCAACTGTTTCCCGTCCCATTTCCCTGTCCCATACCATTTCAGATACACTCATGCCAACCCTCAGAGATATACTCTTACAAAGGACCGATACTAGAAGGATGAAATGGTTGAGTTGTTTGAATCAGGGGCATTAGATGGAGGGACCCAAGAAGAGAGGAAAAAAAAGATGAAAGAAGGACAGGGCTTCTAAAGAATAATGGAGAGATGTTCCAAGCATTGAAATTTGAAAATCAACTTTGGTTCCCACCTAAATCCAGGAATATCTATAAAATTCTTTCCACAATAGCAGCAGTGAGTGGATATAATGAGACAAGATGAAGCTTAAGCTCTGGGGTCCCTCATCTGCAAGAGGCGTCTAAGAACATCTTTGTTTCCAATTTTCTATTTGTAATTTTGAGTTCTTTTTCCTAAAGAGGACTTCTAAAATTGTTTAAGATTTAGGGCCTTAAAATTTGGATTCCTTTCTGTGCCACACATTTTCAGAAGTATCCCTTCATCACTTCTACAAATATAAGCAAAAGCAAAAAGAAACAAAAATAACTAAAGCATTTAAAGACACTTAGAGCTAGTTACCCAGTAGCTATGCTTGAAATCCTTCAAAGGCTTCCCATAATATGCTGAATAAAATCCAAACTCCAGTGGTTTTCTAAGGCCTCCATGATCTGGCTCCCTCTTCTTCAATTCCACGTCCAACTCCCCCTATAACCTCCAGTCACACGGTCCTCTTGCGGCTCCTCTACATTGTCAACCTCCTTCCTATCTCAAATCCTTCCTCTGCTGTTTCTTCTCTTGAACCTCTCTTGTTCCCTTGTCTCACTGCTGGTTCCATGCTGTTCTAGAGGATCTCTGGACCTCCGTGATGACTAAGATATCATGTTCTGTACCTCCTACTCATCCCTTGGGTTCTCTATCACATTCCACATTTTTTTCTCTTGTAGACTTTTATACAAGTTGAATCACATTATTTCCTTTTTTTTGCCTGTTTGATAACTGTCAATCTCTTGTACAATCCTCAACCTCCATCAGGACAGCAATGGTACTTATTTTGCCCACCGCTATGGATCCAGCTCCTGGTTCAGTACACAGCTTAGAGCAGATGTCCCATAAAAATGTGATCAAAGGATGGTGAATAAGCCATGAAACACAGTTAATCTTCCCATTAATGGAACTTAAGCCTTTAAAGCACAGAAACCAATAATAATATTAGTAATAATTTTAGTGAGTACCTTTCCATGTCTTTGTATATGGACTACTTGAATGTAATATAACATTTTTCTGGCAAATCAAAACTGTAATAATCAACAGTATATATTATGTCTCACAGCCATGGAATGCTGTTCTTGGAGATTACTGACACATATCAGTTATTTCTGATTATGCTTATGTACCTGAGATTACTATAATTACTGAAATTTCATGTCTGCCTTTCTTGGTTTTTCTGCTTCTGTCACTGTCAGGCTGTCAAACCATTTTTTTGAACTTCTCAAAGAACTTTCCTTAAGCAGCTCAATTATCATCCTACTTTGCTATTTTAATCTCTTTATGGTCTAGAAAGTAGATAACAG